TGAGACCTGAAATACAGCAGACAAAGAAACCCTGATACATGGAAGGAAGGAGAAAAGTAAAATAGGAAAGAACAGGAGGTAAAATACTGGAAAACAATGATGAGGAAGAAACTTTGGCACACTGCAGGAAGTGAAGGCTATGTCCCAGAAGAGAGGGCTAGTCAACAGCGGACACAATTAGTACAGAATAGCATTTGTTAGTTTTGCATTTTCCAAAGTGCTTTCACATGTATCAAATCAACCTTGATGACAACTGTGAAGAAGTGTTCATTTTTATCTTCGTTATCCAGATTAGCAAACTGATGCCAGGGCAGTTAAATGATTTGCCAAAGATCATACAATGTGTGTCAGATCTGAATCTGAACTTAAATCTTCTGACTCATAATTCAGAGCACCTTCCATCATTCTAGAAAGTTAGTTCACAAGAAGAAGAGAGGGTGAGTTGCTCTGCAAACCATACTGGTTGTACCATCTCATTAAACCATATGCATTGGAGAAGTAAGATGCATGAGAGATACTGACACCATCAGGGAGGATAGATACATGTTCCCAATAGTGTTGAGGACAAAGATGCTTGTTTAGTGAAATGTGATATAGCAGTACAATTCATACCATAACAAAGTTCAGCAGAAACTGTTGCTTAATTCTTTGCTAATTTCATTCTATTGAAATTATGGATTAACACCATATTTTACAAATGCTTCGCATCCAGCCTTTAAACTAAATAGTGGATGAGTGATTCTCTGTGCAATAATTAATATGAGGATACTTTATCAGGGACTCAGATGTCACTGTGAAAGAAAATCTAGGGTTAAGTGCAGTATGTCTATATATATTGTATTAAGGATGAATTTGACATTTGAAGTTTTTCTCATAATTAAAAGACTGGATGTTTTAGACTACAACAGTAACAACAAAGACAGTTGACCAAGAAAATGCAGCGTTTGTAAAGATATTTTATTTGAATTAAAATTTATATTTAGTGCATTCCAAGAAAGTTTTATCATGTTGATGAAACTTGTATTTTCAACCTCAAGATCAAATAAATCAGTGTTCCTGAATATTAGCGGAGTAAAGACTGAAGAATTGTTTTGTGTGGGAGAATTTGCATCAAACGAAGCGACTGGAATTCTAAAAGATATGAGTTTTCCCAGAGTTAAAAGAGTGTCCAGGAAGTAGGAAACTTACCCTGTTCCTCTCCTGAATGATAATCACAATTTTGAGTTTGGGATGAAGGATTATTTTAGATATATGTGCTTTACATATGCATTCCTGTGAGTGCCTAAGTTATGATGTTGCTAGCTCACTGCAATCCTGGTCCAAGAAATCAAAGGTGATGTCATGCTTGTTATAATATGCCTTTTGTTTGAATCCATAGGCCTGGCATAGCTGCTCATGTACTGCATATATTGCATATACTGGACACTTGCCCGTGGCCCTGTGCTGGGGCCTTTCTGGGGCCTTTCAGCTGGAACAGCATGGTGGCATTTGCAAATTGATCAGTAACTTCAGGAGGCAGGAAATGAGAGTGATGACTCAAGTGGGATTTAATCACTTATAAAATCAGTTCAAAAGTCTGCATGGTTATCCCCAAGGCAAAGTCAGTGTATTTCCTATTCTCTTTATAATTACCATTTGTGTTCAAGTTTTATCTTTAAACATATCTTGCCTTTTCAGGGCGACTTTAGTTTCCTTGTAACCAGCCATAAAATTTGAAAAGAATTTAGGTTAACGGTCTGAGAGGGCAAAGGTATCCCAAAGTATAACTAGAGTCTATAATACTGAGTGACCTCTCACAAAAACAAAGATCCGAATATCACATGTTCTCACTCATATAATGGACCTTGAACATCCATGCAATACTATAAGAAAATGACTGATGGTACTGGGAAACTATGGGGGGGAGGGGGATGGGATTAACAGTAGCAAATATCTGTCGGGGGATGGGAAAACACTTCTTATCTACAGGGTGCCTGAACGAAACGTCATTGTACACCTAACCCTTAACTGTACCCCACAAAACCATAATAAAAAATACTGATTAATGAAAAAAAAAAAAAAAGAATAGGAATAGAAAAAAAAAAAAAAGTTTTCTCTGGAGTCTCACTGTCTCAAAGGGTCTTTTCTTATCAAAGATAAGAAAGTGTGATCACATACAGTTGTGATCATACAGTTACTGAACATGTGGTCTCTTTGTAACATAAATTGCCAATATAATATTTTTCATGTTTAGAAATCTCTTAAGTAAAGCATTAAAGAGAATTTGGAGAAAAACTGGCTTGCGGTCACAAAATTTCTTCTAATCATCATTTCAAGGCCAAAATTTTTAAGTAAGGCCCAGAAATAACAACATTTGGAAATGAGATCTGAGTAGGTTAAAGTGGACTGTGAGTAGTAAGTATGCTGAAAATAAAAGTAGCTTGCAAAGGGAGTCCCGTAACAAAATAGTGCCTTATCTTTTGAACCAATTATTATTTTCAAACTGTGTTATTGTGTAAGAGATTATACAATTTCATGTTCTTTATTTTTTATGTGAAATAAATAGGAGGAAGCAAATTAAAACGAATAACAGCAATTTATAATTTGTAAATTGTATGAGATACATCACGGAGGTCGTAGAAAATCAATTCCAATTTCTATATCTTCTACTGCTCCCCTTTTTAAAGTAAATATTATGAGTCAAGAAATGCAAAGTTTAAATCCTGATGGTTCACCATCCTAAATCAGTTCACTTTTCCTGCTACTGTTCTACTCCAGCAATCTTTTCTTTTATTCATCATGCCTTGCTTATAGATCATTTTTCACAAAATAGAATTATGTTTTTACAGTGTACATCAGATCACACAATCTACTGATGGATTTGCATTAAACTTAGAATAAAATCCAAAATCCTCCCCACGGCCCACAATGATCTTGTCCTCCGCACCTTTCAATGCCAACTTTTTACGCACCCTGTACCCAGCCTACCCCTTCTATGTTCCAGCTACACTGAGTTTTTAACTAACTTGTTCACCCTGTAAGGTGGTATTTCTTTTTCCTAGATTGCTTTTTCTCAAATCCTAACAGCATCACTTTCTTCTTATCCTTACTGACTCACTCACTGCCATGTCACTTATTTATCCTTTCATTTTCATTTATCCTTTTATGGAGAAGATATTTATCGAGCACCTACTATGTGTTTTCATTTATCCTTTTATGGAGAAGATATTTATTGAGCACCTACTATGTGATGAGGAACACAGTAAGGTGTCTGACCTTCATGGAGCTTTCATTTCAGTGAAGGGGAATAATTATCATACTTGGTTCCCCTACCATGACCCCTAACTGTGAATACAGTGGAATATTCATGGTACATTGTTTTATTCCTCCTGAAATTTGCAAAGAGAACTTTCAGAGAACCCCTTCTTTCTCACACTTTTGCTGTTTTCCTCTGTAAAGTAACCATCACAACTAAGGAGGTGACCACCACAGTAAGACATAGCACAAAGAACATTGTCCCAATGGTTCAGTCCTCCTCGATTTATTATATGCACATTCTTGAGCAAGTCACATGAACTACTTTTTGTATTAATTTTAATATTTGTAAAGTGGGGTATTCCAATCTCTTTCTCAAGATTCTTGAGTAAATGAATTATGAAAGTAGTTGATAGCACACAATCCAAAAGTTACTGTTTTTTTTTTTTTTCTTCTAATCATAATAATGATTTCCAATTCTACCCTTGGGTACCTGAACTCCAAATCTACATTTCTAATGGTTAGTTAAACATTTCTATGTTGATCAAAAATTGAAAATTTCATCTTCCTATAGAACTAGTTACCCCTCTTAATTTTAATACTTTGGTGAAATACATCTTTTTTCCTCAGTTTCTAAATTCAGTCAGTCCAATGCCTTGCCAACTTTCTTTTGTTATATCTCTTGAAACTATTCTTTTCTGCCTGTGTGCAAGATTATCAGCTAACTTCAGCTGCTTACCTCATGACTCCTCTTTGCTGCCTCCTCAGAGATCTTCACCCTACCCCCTTAGTCTTTCCCTTCCAAATCATTTAGAACCTTTCCATTATTTAATCTGTTTACCATGCCTTTCCCCTATTCAGAAACTTTGAAATATGCCACCTCATTGCCTACATGATGGATATAAAATCCATTAGCATATTATTTAAGATTCATCATAATCTGGCTTTAGTCTTCCTTTCATCTTTGATGCTCTGTCATTCCTCTTTCTGTCCACCTCACTACAGCTAGGTGAATCCATTTCTTGTTCCCTGTCCCTTTGCTGGACTTTCCAGCTGTCTCTGCACACTTGTTGATGGTTTTTATTTGCCTAGAGTTCTCTCTTCTCTGAGTTCCAATCTCCTTTGCCTTTCTACATAATTCTTTATCTCTTTCATAGGAATTCTGAATTTTTATCTCTATTTCTGTTTTTGACCTTATAATCACCTTCATGTTACTTATTTGCTATGTATGCCTTTTCAGAATTTCTGATATTCTTTCATGTATCCCAAGTGCCTTCCCTATCATAGGAACTTACTGTGTATTTTAATGTTACTTGGTAGTTGAGATTTTGCTCTATGTTGTGTTTTTCTAAGAATGCAAAGGAGGCTGCTTTGCCTAGAAGACAGAGCATTGAATTTCTTGACCTCACTCTCATCCACTTTGAAGGAAACTAGATCCAGTTGCTCGGAGAACTTGGTTAAAGTTTATCAAACTAGAACGTGTAAATTCTTATTTAACCTAATGAAAATACTGACATTTATAAAAGATTTGTCCCAGTAGGTGACTAATAAACAATGACCTGCTTAGGTGAATATATAAAATTATCTGCACATGTTCCTAAATTTGCTGAAATTTTCTCTATCTTCTCCTGAGGAACTTCATGAAAACTTGCCTCTGTTTTCTTGTTCATTAGGTAAATATAACACTAAATTATAATGATTTGTCTCTGATGACCATACTTTACTTTGATTCTATACTAACAGCATACTTTTCTGTTTTTCTACAGTACTTCGGAAGTTTACTTGTCATTTTCTGTGTAGAACTAGCTTGTGGCGTTTGGACATATGAGCAGGAACTTATGGTGAGTTCAAAATGGGATATACTCATAATCTCAATTTAAAACAATACCCAGTTTAACCTTTTAAATCGGATACTTTAGAGTGATTTATGGACATGATTATTAACTTGAATGCTTATGCTACATGATAACAATGAACAGTCCTAATACTTCTGAAAATTAACATTTCTTTTCTGCAGCTGAAGCATATTTCCAAACTATAATTTGTAATATTTTATTTGGTATACTATGATATAGGTCTTTAATTCCACAGATTGCTTACACATGGATATAATAGACTAAAAATAGTATATGCTCTAAAATAAAGTTCCGAGTTAATAATAGGAATTATTTTCATTTGCAAACATGATTTGTTTGAGAATGCTTGAATACCTACAAAAGGGCTTATGAAATGCTAACCGCACCAGTGCACTGATGACTAGAAGTCTACGTCTCCTGTTTACAATAAGGTGAACATCTCCCAATTTAAGAAGTATATAGGAGGTGCCAAAAAATGTGTAACATTTTAAGGGTTGTTATATTTATATTACTTCTGAAGTTGAACTGAATTACAGGAGCAACACATAATATGGCGTTCCCTCAACTGTGCTTCTGCCATTTTCTTTGATTGTCCTGCCTGTTGCATGGTGACACTAGCATTCATTTGATCAATGCCATCTTTTGAGCAAATGTCACATTTAAAATGTGTATACGTATTTTTGGCACTCCCGTATTTGAAGAGTTGTTGTGTCTTTAGTGTAGTCTAGATACACTTTCACAGTTAACTTGGCTACTTGAAAGCAGTTTTTCATCACTTTTTGCTGAGACAACTTTTAGAGTTGCAGAATGATTGGGGCTAAACGTTTCTCAGTCTTAAGATTTTCCCAGTCATGTTTGGTTGACCAATTGTACTTCACCCCTGCTAGCATTGGGTATTATTACATATTTAATGTTTTCTCACTTTATTGGTGGAGATTAGTGCATTTATTATGAGTAAGTTTGAGCGCCTTTTCATGTCCGTGAATGCTGGCTGTTTTTATGAAAGCAGGCCAGATTTTTCCACCATAGCATTGTAGTGGAATTCTGTTTTAGTAACGGTGTTTTTCAACATGTAGTCCTTGGACCATCTGCAGTAGAAGTGACCCAGGGTGATTCTTAAAAATGTATGCTATCAGGTTCCAGCTCGGATGTGCGGCATCAGAATGGGGGAAAGATGGAAAGGAAGGGGCAAGGACTGAGCTTTTGCATTTGTGACAGGTTCCTTAGTGAGTCTGAGACATGTCAAAATGTAGGAACCCTTAAGAAGACAGGGAGGCTTATTGTTATTTGTTTCAGAGAGAAAAGAGTCATTTGGCCGTTGTGTGGTAAAATTGAAGTCGTTTCTGGTAGTGATGCAGTGATGAAAGATTTGACTGTGGTGAATCTGCTGCTGTACTGGGAGACTGTTTTGAATACTAAGTAGTAACCACAGACTAGTGGCCATTCTGCATACTCTGATTTACATGTAAATGGTGCTTTGGCAAACTCACACACATGAGTGCCCATGAAGACACTCTTGCTTCCAACATAGAACTCCCAGTAAGAAGAGAGTTTGTAAAAAATTAAAAAATCAGGACAAGTTCTAACATGTTTAATACAAAGTTAAGAACTTCTAAAAAAAATCTTCCTTCCAAAAGAATAGGAATTCTTTTGCTGGAGAATCATATTTTTACTCCATTCCTGGAAATTTTGTATATTTAGGGGAGTGAAAAGTAGTTGGTTCCAGGGACTTGGTTTCTGTTTTTCAATGGTAAAGAAATTGTCTCTCTTAATTTATTCTGTTTTCAAATGATAAATTTATCTCATTGACATTCAAGTGATAGGGACTAAATCTTATCATTAGTTCTTGATCCTCTTAACTCAGCTTCTGATTGTGTTTTGTTTGGTAATTACAAAGATTTTTAGAAATGAGTTTACTTTTTCTTGGATTTGTACAGTGGACTGTAGAGAATATATGTCATGCTAATATTTGATATCATAAGTTCAAAATGAGTGAATTTAAGGTGCTTGGAAAGAAATGTTTTAATTCTAACGATTCTAAAAAACATGAGGAAACTAAGGAACTTATACTTGCTTAGCTACTTTTGTCTATTCTTTTCATATAAAAATGTATACATATTTTAAATTCGACCACAATAGCTTCTGAGTATTGCAGCCTTAAGTGACTGTGCATTGCCATTTCAGCAGAGGGCATACATCACTGTTTTGCTTGGTAAATCTTTCCCATGATATCACCAGGATAGCGCACGCACTGTTTAAAAGTGAAATGTAAAAGCAGTCCTTTAAAAACAGTTTGTCTTTTTAAAATTGCTTTTACACTAGTAGTGTGAATGAAAAGTGCCATTAAAGTTTATTATCTGCCAAATTTTACAGAACTCAGCCTTTACATAGAACGGGCTTTGTGTGTTTAGTTGTTCCATGCAAGGAACCAATCAATGTGTATGTGTTACTTTATGGCCAGATCCCCAGTATTTTGTGCCAGAATCTCAATGGTCTCCTCTGTTTTCTTGCCACATTTGGTCTCAGATTAATTGTGGTCACAATGAGGAAACAACCTATGTTTATTTTGGAAGGCAACATTTTAAAAAAATGATTGTCGTATTTACTAAATCAAACTTGACATCAGTCTCTATCCCCATTATTTGTTTTTTATACATGCTCACCTTTTATTCATCATTCCTTCTCTAGATGAAATCTGTCACTAATATTTTTTCAGATTTTACACTGCTAGATAATTTACTTCACTTCTATTTATTTTATGCCCCAAAGGATATGAGATAAAGATCATTTATAGTGAGCACTTGAACTTTGACTAGTTCCCTGAACTTTGTTGTAGCCATATGAAAACAGAGTATGCCCATTCAGCCCATTATTTGGGGTACACAATTGTGTATCCAAGTGTTTGGGTATTTTCTTTTGTTGTGAGTATTGCCAAGTAATAAAAAGAAAATTAGCAAAGGAACAAAATGAATTTTTGTGGTCAGGAATTTTTAGACTTCTTCTATTGATATTACTATCTTTAAAAATAAGATTTCAAAATAATCCCAATCTTGAGTTCTGTTGGAGCCTTATTTATATTCTTCTCCCCCCCCCTTTTTGATGCTCAATCTTTATATCACTTATTAAATGTCAAGTTTGTCTCCCTAAGCCCATCCTGTGTTATTCTGCATACCAGATGAGTGTCCATATTCCCTAGAGCTGCTTAAATACCATGTATGTGATGCGACTATGATCTGCAGACCTCAATTGCTCCTTGCCCTGTAGAAAAAACACAGCTTGATTTGCTAACCAGATTTCTGTCCAACTGTCGTGTTACATACCTGAAGCTCTGTCATGATAAAACATTCTGTAACCAACTGGGTACTAGGTGACTTGAGAATAGTTCAAAAAAGCTTTAATTTGAGAACTGATCTTTCTAAAATTCTACCATGCCTCCAAAGTCCAACTTTTGGAAAGGTGTTAACAAAATTATTCTAGGATAAAGCTTGACTTGAGCTGAATTCTTTTCCCTTTTAGTATCATTGTTACCTTGAAGAACAACATCACAGCATTATACAATCAAATCGAAGGGCATTCCTCTTCAGGAATCATTTGTTAAGAGGAGCTCTTCAGATGTATCCCATAGGATGTACAGCTAACTACTTGCTTTGTGATTTCCTTGAGCATTAACGTGACTTCTCATTTTTTTTTTACTTAATACAAAGTACCTTCTCATTTAGCACAAAAATCTATACATTGAGATTGCCCAATAAATACTTCCTAACTATCAGCTTAATTTAGGCCACACACAAATATAAATTTAAAATAATGTTTGTCAAGTATAATAGATTCTGAGTATGTGTGTGTATGTAGTAATTGTGTTTGTGAATATGTTTGTCAATCTGTGTCTGAGTGTGTGTGTTTGTGTGTTATACTTGTTGACGTTTTGCTTTTTATCTTCAGGTTCCAGTACAGTGGTCAGACATGGTCACTTTGAAAGCCAGAATGACAAATTATGGCTTACCTAGATACCGATGGCTTACTCATGCTTGGAATTTTTTTCAAAGAGAGGTAAGTGCTGTAATTTCTGAGGTAGGGAGTATGGAATAGTTAGCAAACTCTTTAACCAGCTGTTAAAATTTTGGTTTTAGTAATTTTCTCTGGGCTGAAAAATTAAGCCTATGATTCAATTACCTCTAGTGCAATTCTTTATTGAGAAATATCTTAAGTAATGCTGTGCTAGTCAGGCTTTTCTTCCCATGCATACCATTTCCCCTTCATTTCACACGGTTTACATATATCTGAGAACTTCTTAAAAGCCATTTTACTAAACTGCTGTGGTGTTCCCTTTTTAAGAGAGTTAACCCGATAAGTATCCAAGTTCTATTTGAATAGGTTTTTTTTTCATTACTTTTAGAGCTATCAGTATTTTAAACATAATTTTAATTTTTAAAAATAATTATTCTTACTTGCAAGTTTTGAGTCATTATATCATCAATGGCACAATCTAGTAAGAAAGACCTTGGTTCCAATTCTAGACATGCTACTTACTATTAAGTGAGCTTCCATAATTTATGTAACTCTCTTAGGCTTCAGTTTTCTCACCTCTAAAATAGGGATAATAAAAGGACCTACCTCCTCAGGTTGTCGAGAAGACCAAATGATATCGTAAATTTAATCTTATTTAGTCTTTGGTCAGTAAAAATAACATTAAAAAGTATAGATACTTTTAGCTTTTTGTACCTGATGGCCCTACAGAACGGCCCCCAACCATCTTCTCCAATGGAGACTGTATCTAGATGTTTAAAATCTGGTGTCTTAAAGTTAACCATTGACTTTGTTTCAAAACAACCTTTCCTCCCAGTCGGTTTCCTTGTGATTGTAGTATCTCAGTTTCCTTTTATTTATCTTGGTGCTGGGCCACAGAGCATATGTGAATCAGTATCTTCTGCGATCCAGCGCTCTGCTCAGTTACTCTGTCCTGGATTTGGGCAGAGGTTCAAGTCCAGGACAATCTCCAAACCTGGCTGTCTGTGTAACAATTGTTGAGATGATGAAAATTATCATTGTAACACAGATTTCCTGTTTATTTAAATGCTTCCTGACTTTGTTTGTTTACTGTGTATTTGTACTAAAAACAACACAAAGAGAAAATAAGCATTTGGGAACTTATAGTAAGCTGTGTTCAGCTACTGTGTTGGGTAGGTTCTGCCCAGAGCTCTTTATTTTCTGGAATTTGTGATGTTGACAATGATAATCCAGATTAAAAAACAAAGTGAGTTTTTTTCTGATGGGGCTCCACCTAGATGGACAGTGGACAAGCATTGCAAATGATAGCACACTTATTTTTATATTTATTGCATGGTAAGTTCCCTCCTCTGTATCATAAGTCCATGTTACACGAAAGGAGATGGTAAAGACTTCTGGGCACGTTGAAGGAGTTCTTAAAAGCGTTTTATATTAGCTTGCTAAGACTGCCATTTACAAAGTACCACAGCCTGGGTTGCTTAAAGAACAGAAATTTATTTTCTTCTATCTCTGGAGGCTGGAAATCCACAATCAAAGCATGATTTCTTCTGAGGTCTCTCTTTTTGGGTTGTCCATGACTATTTTCTCTTTGTTTCTTCTTATTATCTTCCCTCTATATGTGTCTATGTTTAGATATCCTCTTCTTATAAGAATATCAATCATATTAGTTTAGGGCCCACTTTAATGACCTTATTTTAACTTAATTACCTCTATAAAGACTTCTGTAAAGAAGTGAATTGTTCCAAGAACTGTTCTTTACAGAAAGGTCTCATATCATTAGGAATGGAGAGAAATGGTTTTCTTTGAGTGCAAGGATTTAAAAAGACTGAATTTTAAATTCAGTAGTTTGTGATTTTTAGAAAGTAAAGTCTTATTACTACATTTTTAAACAATACCTAGTGAATTATGTAAAGTGTGTGATGTCAAATTATGTTTGACGTAATTTGTGAATTTTATAGTATACGCATGACTTTTAGAACAACTTTAAAAATATGCTAAAGACATTTTTAAAGTTTCTCAAAATTTTAGTATTACCTCGTAGCTTTCAGTAATTCATTATTTATAGTACTCAAGATTTTTTCTGTTTAAAAATTAAATATTTAGGCAAGTATAAAAACACAAAATATTTTTGGTATTTTTCTTGTTTCCTTTTGCAATGAGAAGCTCAGAGTTCTTCAAAATTGATTTTAAATTTTGAAATGGTGGTAGATTTCATGATAGTGTTAATCGTGAACACGGATTGAACTATTGGGCTACATAATTTGCATACCCAGTCACCCTTGGAAAAGTTCTCAATGACTGCTCACACTCCTTGTTTCTGACTGGAGGAGGAAGAAAATTATACTCAAGGTCAGAAAATTATTCATCATATAAATGTCCTTAAGCAGTATTTCTAAACCTTAATCAGAGAAAGTTTTGACTAATCTTTGGAGAAATTAGATAAAAAAGACAAAACAGTTGTTCTTAAATCCAAGTTTATTCAAGATAAAGGCACATTATTTCCTCTAAGATTATGGTTATAGAATATGATTGTTTATTTCAAGAATCTTGCTCAGTGGAATAAACATTAGAATAAACCTATGCTTATTTCTTAAAGTTCTGGATGTTTTACTAGTTAAGAATTCTAAGTCTGATAACCTTTGTGATGTGGGCTCTCTTCGACACATCTTTCTACAAAGATTACAGACACTTTGAATATAATTTTTGAATTTGTTGAGCAATAGACAAATTGATTAACGAGTTTTAATGGTTAGAGGCTTAGCAATAAAGATGTCAGTTACTTGCTTTGTTAGTATGTGTCTCAAACCTGGTGCTATATAATCACTTGCAGAGGATCTTCCAGTTGAAGAGGGAGACTCAGTTGTGCCTGATTTGTTTTTATGTATTACAGGCACTGTTGTTCAGAACGGTTCCATCATGCAGTGATTAGCCATGGTGTTCCTTTGCTACATTTCTATCATCAACATAGAAAATACATATATCATTAGGAGATGACAGAAGTGAGTTTAACTCTGGCTACAAAAATTTAAGAAACCTAAGGTTTAATTGCTATAAGTTAAGAAAACATTTTTGTCATTTCTGAGCCTGACCAGAGACTCTTTTGCAGTTTAAATGCTGTGGAGTGGTGTATTTCACTGACTGGTTGGAAATGACAGAGATGGACTGGCCCCCAGATTCCTGCTGTGTCAGAGAATTCCCAGGATGTTCCAGACAGGCCCACCAGGAAGATCTGAGCGACCTTTATCAAGAGGTAAGGTCATATGTGGTAAACTTATCATGGATTAAAGTTTTCTTATAATAACTTTAATTTTATTTTATATTTTGATCAACAGGAGCTTGCTCTGTCACCCAGACTGGAGTGCAGTGATGTAATCATAGCTCAATGCTTCCTTGAATTCCTGGGTTCAAATGATCCTCCTGCCCTCCTTCTCCCAAGTAGCTGGGATTTACAGGCACATGCCATCGTGTCCAGCTATTTTTATTTTTCTAGAGACAGGAGTCTCACTATGTTGCTCAGACTGGTCTTGAATTCCTGGGCTCAAACGATCCTCCCATCTCGGCCTCTTGAGTATCTGGGATTACAAGTATAAGCCACTGCACAGAGCTAATAACTTAATTAAAGAATCAACAGCATGTCAATGACATTTTCCTTTTCTGTCTAAATCTAAAGGGTCTTAACATTTTTCTCTGATATGTGGAGAATCAAGATAAGCTAAAAAATCAATAAAATTCTGACCACGGACCACATTTTATAAACAAAGAAGAAAAGACCAGGATTTTGAACTGTATTGTGTAGCACCAATTTCTGTTGCCACTTTCTAGGGATCCTTTGAAACAGACACATGCAGAATACATAGCTAGTTATGGATATTCAGAAATGCAGGGTTTGGAGTTCCTGGGAAGATAATCTATTTGAGTGTCTTCTCCTGTACTGACACATATAAAGGGGGGAAGAAACCCCTGACTGTCCAGAGAAAATGCTGCGGTATTACTCTTCAGTTCCCCCTGCTGGCTAATGACTAGTGATGTCAGTTTTAGTTCACCGATTAAGTTTTATGCTCACTGGGGTTAAAGTCAATCCTAACGTGACCAAGAAACTTGTATAACTGTGAGAATTGATCAGAATCATCAGTTAGTCATTTTTAGCAGAAATTTTTCTATTCCATCATTTTTAGTGGTGCTTTTGAAACGTTATTAATAGTGAAATTTTGTTTTCAAATTAAAAGCTAGAACAGCACTGTCCAGTCCAATAACCAATAGCTACATGTAGCTATTTTAATTAAAATTAAGTTAAATTAAAATATCAGTTTCTCTGTTGAACTAGCCACATTTCAAGTGCTCACAAGCCTCTTGTGACTAGTGGCTTCTGTACTGCACAATGCAGGTATAGGACATTTCCTTCATTATAGAACATTTTCTGGGCAGTGTTGATCTAGAAAGGAAACCCACATGTGAATTAGAGAGAAGGGAAGTTGCTGAGGCTAAGGGATTGGGAATCATTCTCCAAATACATCTCCAGTCAAGTTCCTTGTGTCATAAAATACTGTTGAAAACTTCTGGCTTAACATTAATACCATAATTACCTACATACATATATACATACTGTATTACTTATATGTAAAGCTCATATATATGGGTTATATTCATAATACACCTCACATATATGTATAGTATGGCTATAAATAATGAAAATTTTAAATGACACACATTAAGATTTATAAAACATGCATGTATATATATTTAAAGATGGTTATCTTAGGAGGTTATACATTTTTTTTCCTAGAAATACTACCATTCAAAACATCTTTTAGACTGCCAAAGTTAGTTGTAGAAATGAATTGCAGTTAATTTATACTTGGAAGTTAGTTTAGATGCTATAAATTAAAATAATGCTGTATTACCTACACAAATGAGCCAGTGTATTCATGTCTTAGATATGAGTAATTTTTGGCTGTTAAAAAATTTATCTCAGAGGACAAAAGTATGCTGCATTTAAGGATAGCAAAAATAAAGTGTCTGGGTCCTGACGGCATGGCCCAAAGAAGAGTGCCAAATATTAAGAGTTTCAGAATTGTATTCATTTGCTAGAGTGCCCATAACAAAGTACCACAAACTGGGGGGCTTCAAAAGCAGAAATGTATCATCTCACAGTTTTGGAGTCCAGAAGTCCAAGATCAAGGATTGTTTTTTCTGAGGGCCATGAGGAAAGATCTGTTTCATGCTTCTCCCCAGCTTCTGGTGGTTTGCCGGCAACGTTTCCCGTTCCTTGACTTGAAGATCACTGTGGTCTGTGCCATCATGTTCACATGGTGTTCTCCTTGTGTAGGAGGGGGACTCAAATAATCCAGGAATTTAGTTATAAAAAATTGTCTGTTTATTCATACATGTTTCAACTTTAGTCACCTTCAATGTACTCTCCGTTCGATGCAATATACCTATTGAAATGCTTGTGTTTTTAAACTAGTCAATTTTGATGCCTTTTAGTGCTTTTGCCATTTTGTGTTTTACCTCTTCCAGTTATCAAAACATTTCCTTGTGAGGGCTTTTTTCATTTCAGGAAACAACAGAAAAGTTGCTTAATGTATGATCGGGTAAATAGGGACAATGGGGCATGGGGTTTATGCAGTTTTGTGTCAAAAACTGCTGAACACTCAGCACAGTGTGGGCAGGTGCGCTCATAAATCACCCATCAAGAAATGGGCAAATGCATAGAAAGAATCTTAAAAAAAAAAAAAAATACTCGCTGAAGCCAAATGCAGACTCTCACCACAATGCTAGCTAGTACACTGATGCCCATGGATTCCAAGAACACTTATGTAGCTGGGGAAGTCTGTACTATAAGGGGCCTGCCCTCCAAAAAGTAGTTCCCTTCTTTTTTTTTTTTTTTAAATCCTCCTTCATATGTGTCTCTAAATTTCCCCTTTTTATAAGAATACCAGTCATATTATATTGGGGCACCCCTTTTCTTCAATTTGACCTTTTTTTACTTACATCAACAACAACTCTATTTTCAAATAAGATCCCTTTCTGAGGTATTGTTCCTTTAACTTAAGAATTTTGGGAAGACACAATTCAATCCATCACAAGAATTATTAAAACAACTGAATAATTTAGGTTGTTTATTTAAAAAAATGATCAAAATACTTTTTGTTATGTCGCATACTACTGAGAAGCATCATGTTTAGATGTTATTATTTTAAACATACTACATTTAGCAACATTTGGTTTTGACTCAAAAGGAATATATAAGGTGTAGTTTATTAAACAAAAAATTTTGACCCAATGTCTCCGGGTTCCCATCCTACTCCTTTTGTTCTGGTTGAAAGCTAAACATTGGCCAGTATCGATAGAAGTCAACTAATTAATCCAACATAGTCCTCCTGTTCATTGCATAAAACAGAAAACAGTCTTAATATTTCTGAGACAGTGTTAAATACAAACATAATTGTTGATGTTCAAAAATATTGTAACTCACCATTAGGCATTAAAAGGACAGATGGTTAAAATATAAGTGTAGAATATAAGTGTAGACATATGAGTTCAATCCCGTCAACTTTCCTAGCAAGGTTTTAACCCATTTGCTGGTTTTTGGCAGTTGCAATTCAATACATAAAATCATTGTGCTATAATATCGTAGTATAATAATTTCTATCTTTGTGACTAATACTGATTATAACTAATATTTATAATGAGAATGGTAAAATATGAACCAGTTTACCAGCTCTTCCCACAAAGTCTGACTAGAGACAGATTCTTTTTAGTGTTACTTTATTTAACTGAAAAATATTGCACTGAACATTTAATGTAATTTTCTTGTTGTAAAAATGCAATTCATTTTTACTAGTTTGTCTTAGATTGTTTTCACCAATTGTCCTACTTTATAAAGGGATATTTTATTTTCATGATGTCTATAGTTGCCTGTTTCATGAATTTTAATATTGAAAGAAGCCACAGCCTTGTGCATGTGCAAATTGATAGCCCAGATTATTTTGAACTTTTGAAATATTTTCATTAAAAGACTTTCAATAGTAAGCTGGCATTGTTAGTTATGAGGTGTTCTTTAGACTCTGGCTTTATACACTTCTGGCTGAGATGGTGTTTCTTTATATCAAAATCATCTGTTTTTGTCTTTTACAATTAATAACATATGCTAATATTGGTAATAATAGAGTATGTAATTATATGCATAGTTCACTTGCAAAAGGGGATCATTTAGTAATTTTATAGCATAAGCACGATTAAATCCTTAATTAAAAATAAAATGTAATTCCACTTTTTCCTGGAGAGCATTTGTTTCCTAATTGTGGTGTGTCCAGAGATCATACAGTAGGAAGATGAGGAGCCTAGAAAGAGAAATAAGTGAGGAACAGCTGGAGATATTTGGGATGTTTATTCTGAAGTTGAGAGCACTGAGGGGAGATAGTGCAGAAGTCTTCAGAAATTTCAAAGTTCATAATTCAGAACAGGAACAAGACTTGTTGTTGCTCCAAGGACTAAAAGTTACAGGAAGGAAACTTTGAATCAATAGAAGGAAGACCCTGCTCATCAAAATTTGTCCAATTGTGAGACAGGTTATCTTGTAAAATAATGGTGTCTCATCACTAAAAATATTAAAGTCAAGGTCAGATAACCATGTCACTGGTGGTATAGAATGGGTTTTTAAATTAAGAATGAATCTGGACTAAATGAACTTCAAGGTCCCTTTTATCTTTCACATTCTGTAAACTCAGAGATAAGAACTGGCTTTCTTCCTGCAATCATTCTTCAGTAGTTTGAAATCAAGGAGATAAATCATTCTCAACCATCTAGTGGACTGCATGGTCCCTGACCCAATAATATTTTATGACACATTTTGAAACCTGTGAAAAATGACATACCAGGAATATAGTAACAATTGTGCATTTTAGAAACATTCCTATCAGAGGTATTGTTAGGTTTGGCACACAGCTCCTCAAATATCTGTAATAAGCTACACACTTATTAAAATATAGGTTTAAAAATCTCAAGAAAATGTCTCTGACCCTCAGTTTGGACCCGTCCATTCATTCATTCAAATGTTTTATGATTTCTTCCTGGGTTCTATGTGTTGTTCTAAATGCTGAGGATATAACAGAGGATGTTGTAGCCGAAAGTTTCTCCTCTCATGTAGCTTATATTCTTCTTAGGGATACAGACATTTAACAAGAAAAAATAAACAGCAATTGAAAATAATTTTAGGTGGTGGTAAGCACTTTGAAGACCGAAGAGGGT